CATGATGACTCATGGTGCTTGTGCATTCATGGACATGCCTTTGTGGGTGCACAATTTAAAAATAGAGAAGGTTTGGCAAGTGGCCTTGTTTTCCCATACCCACTTTTTCAATTTCACAACCACAGACACAAATGAAAAGCGGGATTTTCTATGCCTCTTCTTTCATGTGATAGTTCTTATTCCTTGAAAAGCTATTGAATAATTCAGGTTCTGCATGACTAAGGGATGATTTGATTGCCACACATGGGAACTAAGAATCCCCAGTAAGAAATCTGGCATTTAATACACTTTACAACAATGCACAGATCATAACCTTGGGCTGACCCAGTAAAATTTGACTATAAAACTTCATTAATGATAGTTATTATCTTACTTCACACTTCATACCTTATAATCTTGTTTAGCCACCATAAACAATCCTTTGGGGGTTAGAATTAGTTCCCGAATTTTGCAAAAGAGGAAGTCGAGGCTCTGAGGGATTCAAACCTAAGTTTCTGTCACTTGTAAGTTGCACAGCTGGAGTGTGAATTGGGGCCTCAGACTATTCACCGTGGTTCAGAGACTGAAGAGATTATTAAGTTTTAGGCAAATATTCTTTCAAATTTTTGTGACTGAATGGTCTTATAGAAATAATGGATTAATACTAAAGACCTGTCAGTTTTTCATTGATAGGATTTGTAAAATCCTCTCACATTTATTCTCTTATATGAATGCTAATACACTCTCTCTTTACCTAGAGTACCCTTTTTTGTTCTTTATGAATGGTTCCTATTCTGTTCTAGATGAACAAGTAGACTTCATTTGTACTGCATAAAGCCAAGAAAATCATATATATTGACATTTTACGTTGTTATTATTATCATTTAAAAATATTCTATCCCTTCCTCATTCTGTCTCTGTAAATGATCATGCTTATGGGCAGCTGAAGGGCAGCTGAAGAGTCTAGTCCTGCTTGTCACTCAAAGCCTGTGTCCCTTGGGGAAGAAACAACCTCTCTAATCTTAGTTTTTATCTCTAGAATAGCAAACCACTACCTCATAAAGTTGTTGGGAGTATTTTTGACATACTAAAAAGTAAAGCACTTTTTAAACGTCAAAGCGTTATAACAAATCTAAGATCTCATTTGATTATTGTCTAAAGTTAAGAGTTAAAGAAAGGATGGTGGCCAGCCTGAAGTGGCGTTAAAACAAGTCATCCCCAGTATCGAACGAGTTTATCTAAACAATGAATTAAAAGGAAAAGGAGGAGGGAGCTGGCCATATGAGAGTGAGAGGAACACTGGTGATGGAAGAAAAGGCAGATGAGTATGAGGATAGCTTTGCTAATCTTAGAAATAGTACATGAAACTATTGTGTAGATAGCAACTGATTATAGACAAAGAATCCTAACTATCCTGGATGCTTACTTTTGGTGAAGTGCACAGACTTCAGCAGTCATATCAATAAAGACATAGGAGACCAGCATACTACCTTGCTGATGAACAAATATGTGCCATATACTTAATACAACAGATAAGAGAATCCTGATTCAAAATTATTTTAAATATTGGAATGTTGAGAATTTATGAGAGACACTTTCATATGATAATGATAGAATTTGTTAAAAGGATAAACCCACCCAGCACCTCCTCAGGAGAAAGATGTGGCAGTCTGCTCCCATAAAGATTACCGCTTTGGAAACTGTATGGGGCAGTTCTACTCTGTCCTATAGAGTCGCTATGAGTCAGAATCAATGGAAGCCAAAGGATTGGGTTTTTTGTTAAGAGGAACTGAGGAGAGGGAGTCCAAGAAAATTTAGAAGTAGTATACAGTAGCTAATGGTTCAAACAGGGATGCTGGAGACAGGTCACCTAGGTTCAAATCCCAGCTCTGCTGCATATTAGCTGTATGACCTTGGGCTAGTTACTAGCTTTGCTGTGCCTTTGGTTTCCCCATCCACTGCATAGGGTCGTAGTAGTAATTACATGAATTAGAATATGGTCAGCTGCTTTGAACAGCAGTTGACATAAGGTTTAACATGATATTTAACCATGGGTAACTGACAGAATGGTTGTGCAGTTAACAGAAATTAGAGTAGTATGTGCCCACTTTGCTCCTCCCTAAACTCTCTGTTCAGTCTGACTGCAAATTGCTGTGCCTCCCACCTGTCAGCTTGAGTTCTCCCAATTCCTCTGTGGAACTAGTTGCAGGCTTTTGCCTTAGATAAGGTTTTTACTTCTCTGTTTCTCCTCCTTTGGGTTTAACACTGCTTTTGGACTGTCTTCCTTTGGTTTCTGGACCTCATCTTTGTCCCTGGAGGCTATAGACATTACCCTCTGTTTCACAATCTAAGCTGAAGGCCAGCTTCCCTTTTTACAACCATGCCCATTCCTGGAGTCTCAGGGGCGTAAGGATCATGGATGTCCCTTGTGAACAGACAGTGAGAATGGATTTAATTGACAGACAAGAGAAGACAATGATTTTCATTTTTTTTATATGATGCTGAATTCTATTGGCTAGAATTTTGTTAAGAATTTTTGCATCTATATTCATGAGAGATAGTGGTCTGTAATTTTCTTTTTTTGTGACATCTTTGCCTGGTTTTGGTATCAGCCTTATGCTGGCTTCATAGAATGCATTTGGAAGTGTTGCTTCCTCTTCTATGCTC